AAATCCCCGAGGCAAAGCCCCCCCGATTCCGCGGAAAGGGCCTGGGCGAGAAAGGCCACCGCGCGGGCGGCCTCCCCCGCGGCGACGCCGTCCTGGAGGCCAAAGCCCATCACATTACTCACCCAGGCGGCGGCGAAGGTCGCGCGAAGGCCGGGCTCGCGGGAAAGCCCGAGGACCACCTCGCCTGCCCACCGCGAGGCGGCTTCGACCTCGGCCCACTTTAAATTCCCCGGGGCGGCCAATTCGAGGAGATGCCATTGATTGACCAACGACAGCACGACGCTGGCGGCCTCGCCGGGGGGCAGCCCGGCCCGGATGGCGTGGAGGAGGCCCGCCAGGGGATCCGCAAAGCGGCGGCGGCGGAGAAGGTCGGCCAATGTCGGGCAGCCCGGCGGCGGGCAGGACTGCAGGCCGGACAAACACAGCGGCTGAAGCGCGAGCGGCCCGCGCCCGCGGAGAGTACATCGGATGGCGGAGGCAATCAACTTCGCCAGATCCCACGGGCTCGCGAAACGGGCCCGGTGATGCGTTAACAGGCGGCCGACGGTGCGCTCGAGCCGCGCCACGTCATCATTGGACTTGAGAGGGGTTTGGGTGTGCGCGAGAAGTCGCTGAAAGAGGTCTTTGAAGGATTCCATCCGGCCCCCTCCTTTCCCTACCCCCACACTACTTTCTTTGGTACTATCAGGAAAATAAATAAGAATATAAACAAACTCTAGGATCCAACATACGGCTCATTGTAAGAGGGGCCTTTTAAAAATAGATGGATCTTCATAATTTTCGCTAGGCGTAGAGGGATGAAAATGTATTGGGCATAAACTGTCACCAATAAACTCAGAAGGAACCGAATTAAACAATCACATTTGCAATATCCCCTTGTTCGACACGTAGAAGGAATTTTTATTATAAATAAAACATAGCAAACCTTTCCTTTACACAGTGGAAGAATCCCATCTGGGTGTATATATATACATATATATATAGATGTACATATATATATGCATGGTTGAAACTTCTTAAAAACGTCGCGTTATAGCCTTCTCTACGCAATGGATTCCATGTTATGCTTGATTACTAACAGGACGTGCGTCTTCCAGTCATCCAGCTGACGCATTTCGTGGAGCATCGACGTCGCCGTTGAAAACTTATCGACATCGCAATCCGAAACAGCATCCAAAAGGAGCTCTAAAAACTCATATTCGCGGCTATTTTTAAGATAAATATCGCTGCTGAGATAATGACCGAGGGCGTCCCGGCACTCCTCGGTCTTTTCGAAGCGGTTATCATTCGAAACCAGGGCTAAACGGCAGAGCACCGCGCGAACGTAGTAATCCCGTGATTTGAACTTCATCGGACCTGATACCATGTCGTTCGCGATGCACTCATAGTACCGCAGCGCCTCTTCGAAGTGATCGTTCTCGCCGTAAATGCCCGCCATCGCTATCATGCACTTCTGCGATTGCGCTTTTTGATCCTCCGCGTCGAAATAGCGCATCGCCCTTTCATAATACGGAATCGCCTCCATCGTGGCGCCTTGCTCGGCGAGGGTCTCCGCAAAATCCCGAATTAACCGCGTGGCGGAGTCGAGTTGATTCCCATCCATGTAGACCTTCACCGCGATATCCAACATTTCATTCGCCTTTTTCATGTCCACCTTTTTGTACGCATTCGCGGAGTCGGCAAAGCACTTTCCGGAAGAAAAATAATCTTTAAGCTTTACCGCACAATCCCCGGCGCGCATAAAAGCCTCGCCGGCTCGGGTGTAATTCTTTTCGAGCTTGAAAAGGGTCGCGGCCCTGTCAAAAAGTTCCTGGGCGCCTTCGTAGTCATTAAAAAAAAAACCGTTCACCTTCTTTTCGGCGCTCCGGTAGACCGATTCGGCAGACATATTTCTCTGGGAGGGCGTTCTACAAGTTGGAATTCCGTATTTAAAGAGGAGGAAGGAGAGGGGGGGAGGGGGGAGGAGGAAGAGGAAAATACTTTTAAAAATAAATATATATATATTTATCTTTCCTATTTACTCGCGGATCAAAAGCCTCTGGGTGGCAGAAAAGTACTTCGGGTGTGTTGAGGGTGCATACATTATCCGCCGCGCCTGAAGTAGTGCGTGTCGGTCAATCAAAAGAAACATAGAATACCCAACATAACGTGATTCTCTTTCAGCAGGGGGTGTTTAGGTTAAAGGTTATTTTTTTTATATTAACATCACAAATTTAACAACACTTTAATAAATTAATTATCGATGTCATTAAATGAAGCTGCGAAGGACGCGGGACCCCCGGATGGGATTCCTTTGACAAGCTCGACTTTCCACTCATTCACTCCGTCGGGTAATAGGGCGGCCATGCCTGCAATGGCCCGCTATAAAACAACCCAGGGCGGGGCCGGTAGGACGGCTGATAGG